GGTGTTCACGCTACATACTCTGTGGAAGACTCATAGAAAGCGGTGAGTGTGCAGAGCTGTGTTCAATGTGATTGAAATCCTGGTTTAGCATTTTCTCTGTTTGGTTATGGAGGTGTTTGGCCGAATAGATTGCTGTGAACTTGACCTTTCCAGGCTCAGAGGAAGGCGAAATCCGCCGAAACGTCAGTTTGTACGTAAATAAAGGAATAATATAACACCTCGTGTTTGCTGAGCAGAAGTAGCAAGAATTAAATATTTTTTGTCAACTTCATGATGGCTTATCAATGAAAGAATACATATTGACTAGTCAGGCCGAGGTTAAAGGAAAGTCAGCTTTTGAAATGTTTTTAAAGTTGATTGCTTCCATAGTACTAACCAAAAATAATTCGAAAGATTGGTTTTCGCTTAATTTCCGCATACATTTTCAGCGATATCTTACGAACTGTCCTTCTTTAAGGTAACACGAGGTTGGGATCTGTTTTTTTTTCAGATCCATTGGCGATGCGTTTCCATAATTTCACCTTCTTCAGAGCCTTGGCGTACTGTGCTTGGATACACAGATGGCCCACCCTCACTGCTTGTCCGAGTCCAGCATAACTTCCACCTTCTTGAAATTTTGCTGGCTTAACTATTGTGGGTCCCTGGAGTGCGGAGGTCAGCCCAGCCAAAGCCTGTCCCAGGTCGTCATCACTACAGTCAATCGCCACATTTGTGGATTAGAGGAAAATTTGCAACCGCGTACCAGGACGGCGGTTGATCCTGCTATTGGTTCACTATTTGCTGGGCTCCCTGAAGAAAATGCCGCACTCCTTACTTTGGGAGATTTTGCTGGAAGAATGAATCCACCTGACGATGAGCCGGTAGACTGTTGGGAGAAGGCGTACTATACCAAACTATATTTACTATTCGGTTGACGTTTCCTAATTTAAACAGGAATCTAAGTAAGATTCTAAATCTAATTCTAAAATCTAATGATTGGCAAAAACAAGCGATCGGCTTGGGAAGCTTTCAAGAGCATCGAGGATGTAGTGAAGAGAACAAAGAACACCGGACTCCATGCCCACCTTTTCGACTCCGCGATTCTTCCTGCGTTAACGTGTGCATCAGAAACCTGGCTGCCATATAGAAGGGATGAAAGATTTCTCAGAGTTATTAGAGGCACAGTCGAACAGACGTTGTTAGGAATATCTGGAGTCACATAAATGAGGAAAGGAGCCCGAAGCTTCCATCTACGCCATGCTCAAAATTCAAAGACAGCTTTCTATGCTATAAAACGTCGAAAATAAGGGGACAGGACACGAAATGCGTTTAGCGGCGATCCAAGCAAAAAATAATCTGAATTCCTCACGATTTCAAGCACATTTAGGAAGATCATCGATTCGATTGTCAGAGGTTTTCACGAAGACCCTGGAAGAGAGGTGTGATGTTCAACGAGTCCTAGAGCGAGCAGAACCCACTGGGCCGCTATTGCACGCTATTGGGAAAAGTGGAAGGTTTACTGGCGCCCGCTCGAGTCACTCGACGACCAACGGGATTACAAGTGACACACGTGAATCATTGGCTTTTGAACCAGATTTTTTTTTGAATTAGGAATTATAAATGGAATAGTGAAATCTGGTATAACACAGCACTCCTCGCCCTGAAGAAAGTGAAATCGCAGAGACCTCAGCCATCGTTTTTGAGGAAGAAGAAATACCTAACCAGCAAGTTCTCATTCATTTCCATCGGATAAAGAACTTACGGAACAATTGATATTTCTGAAGTGGAAGGACCGTCTCAAACCATTTTCACAGTTGGTCATCCAGAGTTTCATCACAGGTAAAATTCCACATCGTTCCCATGGATAGCTAACGACGCATGAAAGGTCACGAAGAGATTGCTTGCTGTCACCTAGCAATCACTGCATTCAGTCCCAGATGAAAATCCGCTTCGTTACCATGGATAGCCAAGGACGTCGAGAAGGTCATGAGGAGAATGTTTGTTGTCACCTAGCGATTGTCACCACATCCAGTCGCGGCCAGAACATACGTCCTAGCACATGCTTATTCGTAATTGTCGTTCCTAATGGTGTAGATATTGAATTTGTTCGCTCAAACTGGCACTGAGCTAAACGCATCAGCCCACATCTAATGGGACGGTAATGCATTTGATCTATACAGCAGTCAGCTGTAGATGAAATGATGTTTATGGTAAACGGTAATTGTATAGGGATGATATTAAGTTGGACCCATGAATACGATAAATTTGGCAGACCACTTTGTTTTTATAACAAGAAATTTAATCGATATTTTGTGCAATCGGATTAGATGCTGTGAAAGCCCTACTAGCAGATATCGAAAACTTAATCACACCACTGGGACGCATAAAATGACCTCACATGAAGATGAAAACAACTGGAAGAAAACAGAAAACATTCGAGAATACAGGATAAGTAGAGGATGGAAAGAAACCGACAAAAATTTATGGTGGGATGCTGAGAACTTCGAAATTAAAAAAACCTACCGAAGTCGGTTTTCATCTGAAGTCAGCAATTGACAATTAAATCTTCTTTCTTTACGAAATCTTTGTCAGAACTTTACTTGGATTTCGCAATAGTGAATGTTCTAACGACTATTGGTAAGTCGATTCAGTGCTTAAAAGCTCTAAACAAAGCCGTGGAACGATTTCCATAAAATTTCCATAACTGCTCCTTGTTTTTAGCTCGAAAAGACGGCTAAAAGGTTAGATATCATTGAGGAGGAAAAGACTGGAAACACGTATGTTAAGAGAACACTTTAGGTAATACTGTAAACGACTTTCATTTAGCCTCAGTATAAAGCATCAATTCACTTTATTTCGTTGACAAACTAACACAAGATTTTCATAGTGCTGAGATATTTGCAAAACTCCGGACCGCAGGTGTCTGCGGTGGGGAACGAACGCGCTATTGTCCTTTCCGGGGAATAGAGCGTTCACCACCACACCATACGGGTCCTTCGTTTCGCCTGTCTCTCAGCTAGTTCTATCGATCACAACCATCAGCACTATGAAAGTTATATTTCGCAACCTACCCTGCCATTAAAAAGGATAGGCAGTAAGTAAAAAGGTTAAGATTGTGATTATAACACAAGATTGTTGCCAACCATTTATTCGGCTAGCGTTTCGACGTTTTCGCTTTCCTCAGAGCCGATAGAGGTCTTCCAAAAGTGGACCAACGATTCAGATCATCGGCTGTGAGGAAGACGAATACGTCGAAACGTCAGCCGAATAAAAGTTCGCCAACAACCTTATGTTATGAATTAACGTACTTCAGATAATTTTTTTCCTATTCAGTTAGACCACCACTATGAACGGCGAAAGCGTGAGGAACAAGATAGGTAAAATGCCGAGGTTTACTTGGCCCGATGAAGGCGGGCTCAAGCATGTAATCAAGCAAGTAACAACTTTCGCTGCTGTACTTTTATAATTGACTGTTCTCTTGATAAGAGAACGCGAAATTGTTATTACAGTAGTTATTCATTCACAATTGCTGATGATTCGGCGGTTTCGCGTTCTTCAGAGCCTGGAAAGGTCAAATTGACACCCAATCAACTCAGTCAAACACTATCATAACCTCAACATAAAAAACAACACATAAATTTCCATTCGCATTGTAAACGGCACTTTCTAGGCACTTAGTGTTTTGCTCTACCAGGTGGGCCTAGGCCCCTGTAGAACCTATGTTGTAGGCCTACCAGTTATTTGTTGTAGTCCTGTCATTGATGATTTTGAAAATGTCATGTATGCATTATTTTTCAGACTATGCAGAACTTCAATTGCTATTTTTCTCTTCTTCATTTCGCTTTAATTTCTCTTTTTTCTCGATTTAATTTTTCTTTTTTCACAGGAAATACTGAAATATCGAGTACTTTACTTTGAAAAGAAAACGGATTATGTGACATGCATTTATGTGAAATGAAATGAGGAAAAAATTCAAATTATAAAATTCCGACAACTTGGTTGAGAAGGAAAATTACGAAAATCAACGAACGAGTATGTTGTACGAAAGCACTGATTTATTCAACACGTAAATCGTAGAGTAAGAACGAAAACAGAGAGTAAAAGGAATGAAACAACCAAAATAAGATGCGTGCTGCACTATGTGTGTGTACGTATCTACGTGTGTAATCGCATTTATGCGTGCACATACACACGTATGTACGTGTTTCGACTACAGCATGTCTGCAGGTGTGTAAGTATTTGGGTATAGACGTGCCTATATGTGCAAGTGCATAAAGGATCCAAGCGGTAGTGATGCCATTCATCTCGAGCATGCTACTAGTTCGACTTCGAACCGAGCTCACCATGCCCATCAATCCTCTTTGATTGGGAATTGGCTTTAGATTTGTCTATGAACAATTCTCTCTACAATCCAAGTGGAAACGCTGTAGCTTGGCTATCCTGGGACACCAACGAGAGTCGACTCGGTCAGCATTCAACAACATTCATAAAGAGAACAACAACCCACAAGCGGCTGAGCGATGCTACAAGTAACGGAATCCGGACAGCAAATGTGAAAACGGTAAAAACAAAATAAAAATAAAAGTCAAATAAACACAGTGACATCGCAACACGATGACGTTGCCATTCTTCATCATAGTACTGTCACCTGTCGCCTGCAGTCCCGTTGATCGTCGAGTGACTCGAACGGGTGCCACTAAATTTTCCACTTCTCTCTGTCGCGTGCCAGAGTAGCCCGATGAGTTCCGTTCGCTCTAGTGACTCGTCGAGCATCATATCTTTCTTCTAGGCTCTTCGTGAAGAACTCTGACCATCGAGTCGGTGGTTTCCCTGCAATACGTTTGACATTCCGAAGCAACCAATCACTAACGGCTCTTGTTCATCGGTTGACATACGCAATATGTGTCCGGCCCGCCTAATCTTCGACTGTTTGTCTTACAGAACGGCATCTTTGATTTTTAATCGTTGACGCAGGTTAGAGCTTCTGATCCCATCCCTTACTTGTGTGAAACGAGATACTCCTAGCATCGTCCTTTCGACTGCGCGTTCGATAATGCTGAGTGACTTTCATCCTGCTTACGCAGCGACCAGGTTTCTGACGCATGCACTAGAGCAGGAAGAACCGTTGAGTAGAAAAGGTGGGCACTGAGTCGGGTATTCTTTGTTCTCTTCACTACATCCTCGATGCTCTTCAAAGCTCTCCAGGCCGCTCGTTTCCTTCTGCTCAGCTCTGGAGCTAGGTCGTTCATCATATTGCTTTCCCGACCTAGATAGATATAACTGGAGCATTTAGAGATATTCGTTCCGTTGAGCGTAAATGGGGCATACGAAACCAATCCGTTCCTCATGAAGATCATTTTTGTGAGATTTAGTCGAAGACTAATCTTTTCATAGGTTTTATCAAAGTAGGCAAGCATACGTTCTGCTTGGCTAATGTTTGGTGTTATAAGGACGATGTCATCAGCAAAGCGAAGATGGTAAAGTTGCCGACCGTCGATTCTCACTCCCATATTATCCTATTTCAATGTTCGCATGACGTTCTGGAGGGTGGGGGTAAATAATTTTGGCGAGATGGTATCGCCTTGCCAAACTCCTTTTTTGACGTCAATGTTAATGTCTTTGTAGAATGATGATATCTTGGTTATGAGGTTTTTGCACAGCTCACTAAGAATTTTTGTGTACTGAGTAGAGACTCCTTGACAAGGGCTACCGTGACTGCTTCTATCTCAATTCAATCAAAGGTCTTCTGTTAATCGATGGAAGTGAGACAGAGCGGTCTTTTGTAATCTCCAGTTTTTGTAATCCAAAAAAGTCCAGTGTTCTGTCATTCCTGTTTAGGATGACTCGAGTGAAAGTTAGTAGACGACAGAAATTAAGCAGATAGGACGGTAGTTACCGATGTCGTGTAGGTCGCCCTTCTTGAACGATAGCACTGTCTTGCTAGTCTTCCACTAAGGACCTTGCATTCAGACAGGTAACGTGTGAAGAGCCGAGCCAGTGTGTTTACGAGGACTGGCGGAAGGTTCTTCAGGTGTTCTGGTCTTATCCTGTCCGGACCTGGTGCTCTTCGATTTTTCACCGACGAAATGGCATGTCGGATTTCGGAGGAGAGAACCGGAGGTACAACATATCCAAGCTCCTTTATTTCATATGACGGAAGATGGACGTTGCTATCGAAGAGATCTGAGTAGTATTCGTGAATGATTTTCTCGGCCTCTGCAGCTTCGACCATTACTGGTACTCTTCTCTCTTCAAGCTCTTCTTTTATTACCTGTCTGCATTGTTTTGCAAGTTCGGACGTTAGTTCGCGGTTGCCTTCAGCCCGTGCGATTCCACTCTGGCATATCAGCTTGAGTGTTTCTGGAGACAGACGTCTCTTGGTGACTTTCGAACTCTCAGCTTTCATAGCACTAATGTGAAGATGTTAAATGAGTCGATCGTATTCTTCGTCGATGTTGTCGACAATGGTTTCTTCCCAACAGCCGACTAATTGATTTGAATAAATCCCAGTTTACGGTGGTTCCGAGACTTCGGTTTTGGAATTTAGCGGCTTTTTCTCCTTTTCGCGAGAAATAGAATCTTGCGCCAAGGAGACGATGGTCTGATCCCGTGTAGAGTTTTGGGACAACAGCAAGATCGGTTAGGCAAACCCTTCCATTTACTATAATGTAGTCTATTTCGTTATGGTACTCTCTATTGGGAGACTTCTACGTCCAGAGTTGAGGTTGGGGCTTTTGGAATTGCGAGTTACCATTAATGGTCTTGGTCGTCATGATAGACTCAGACAGCCGCTCACCCTGTTCGTTCCATTCTAATCTGTGGGTCCCAATGTGACGTTCTTCAGACGTTTTTCTTTGTCCAATCTTGGTGTATTCAAACTTCCAATGGTGGCCTTGAAGAATGTGGGGTCTTCTGTGTTGGACCTTTCCAAGTCCATATAGAACGCTTCGACTTCTTCCTCGTCATAGTTTGGTGTCAGCGCGTAAACAACGAAGATTGTCAAAGCCGGTATTGATCCACATTTTTTTAGTCGTAAACGTCCGATTCTGGTTGTAAGCTGTTCGAATAAACCGATATTCATGGACAAACTCGTGTTAACGATAATGCCGACGCCGCCGACTCCTCTACTGTCGCATGTTCCGAGGAACAGTTCTTCTACGGTGTCATAGACGGCGTTGAAAGGCCGGCGTCTTCTCGTCTCGGTCAAGCCGATGACGTCGTATTTTATCTTTCTTGCTTGCGTGAGAAAGTCTTATATCGAGGACTCGAATTCAAGTGTACGTGCATTGTAGGTACAGATCGTCACTATAGTTCTTTGCGAACCAGGCAACTTCCATTGGTCCTGAGGTTTCAGCAGCCTCTCCGTACTCGTCCAACCCAACGCTGCGAAATTGGGGGCTCTTTCGGGGTCAGGGGAATGAGGCCCTTTTCTTTTACCCTTTTAAACATTTCGATACCCACATACAGCTTGCTGGGCTCTGAACGTAGGGCTGGGTATACTCATGGCTATCTCTCCCAGAGTGGACATGGAGCTTATTTGTTGGAGGCGACTCCTAACCGCCTACCATATACTTGAATTGACTCATAGAATACAATCCGCATAAGCAAGAACGCACTCACACTCGCACTTATGCATGAATACGCTTAGCCAATACAGAAAGTATGTTCGAAGTCAACGCAGTAGAAACGGAGAGTCCATCCCCTGGAGCCACCTCCGTCTCAGAGAAGCAAAGGTCATTTTTGGCCCGCAGTTAACCCCTATCCCCCACGTGGGGACGCGCCACGTGGCCTCGCGACTAACCGGCTCGAGATCTCTCATGTGAGGAAGGTCGGTGGCATCGTAGTACTAAATAACAACAACATCAATGACGTATTGATGGAAGAAAAGTGATAATCAAAGAACATTCATGCTGGTATTCAATTATTTCATTCTTTACCTATTTTCTTTTCCGTTGCTCTAATTTTTTTACCTATGTACTTTCCCTTAATGAAGTGAAAAATTAAAAATGTCCTCTTTCCAATTATTTTTCGAAAAGCAGACCAAGAAAGGTGTTTTTATCCAGTAGGATAACTAGCATATTTTCTCGTGGTACATTTTGGCTCAGTTCTTCATTTAAAAGTTTCTAAACAGAAAAGTTTGGTTAACCATGAATTTTTGTTCTATCTCACTACTCAATCTAGAAAAAGGAGGCTAGAGGAAGAAAAAAACAATCCATTGAAAGCATATTCATGAGAAAAATATTGGCGTTGTTTAAAAGAACCACCACATCAACGGCACGAGTGGCGCAGTGGTCGGATGCACCCTGCAAAACACACAGGATCGTTCCCCGCTCCAAAGGCTCACCAAGCCTTCCATCCCTCTGAGGTCGGCGAATTGATACCAGACTTGTCTGGGAGGATGGCAGCATTGACTCGATACATCGTGAGGCCATCGCGAGTCATTGTAAAGACCAGATATGCATTCAATCACCTCCAACGATGCTCAATGAATTGGAATGCATGGCAGAGATTCTCCAGAGATTCTTTACCACTTCAATACATTTATGTTTTTATCACATCAGCGAAACACCTCTTAAAATGCTATAAGTAGGAGGTGATTTTTGTTTACTCGAGGAGCGAAAGCACGAGATGCATAGGTTGAGAACACCGCTCAGAAATATGGCATTGTCATTTGTTCGCACTCACTCCAGGTCAAGTGTTCCAACCATCCATCCGGGGTCAACAAAGTTACACCATGCTTGTTCGGAAAAACTACTTCCGACCAACAAAGACCGACGATTACTTGTGAGAAAGGTCTGGGAAGATCCCAGCACGCCTATTACAGGATTCCAGCGAGAATCAACTTGACCATCATTAACATTATTAAACGTCACCGAAATCAAGAGGGTCAAAATCCTCAAGCAACAGACAAAGTCACGCTCAAATCCGAAGATCTTCGCGGATTATAGTGCGAGAAACTGAAAAGAAGCATTGCATGAAACGCTGGAATCAACTACATGAAGGATATCGCATCGTGTTAAATAAAAATGAAATAAAGGTTTCTGCAAAGTCGGAAATTGAAAGCTCGCTGCAGAGGAGAACGACACGAAAATCGCTTCGCGTTGACCAGTAGCCTGCTAATGGTAATAGATTCATCAACTTTTGCAAATGGAAGAAAAACAGTGCGGCAAGGCGCCACAGAACTGCGTTCCTGTAGAGGAATTCTCATTATACATCATTTGACAAAATTTTATTCCATAGACCTAGTGTAATACTTCTCTAGCTAATCTTAATAAAATTACAAAACGTAAAAAGTGCAATGGTCATACATTTCGAATTCAGCGATGCGAACTTCTTTGAACTTATTCGAGTCGTAAAGTACTCGACAAAGTTCTGACGAAACAACACTTTAAGTACAAAGGCATTAAGTGATACCGTCAACAGCCCAATTATTCAACGTAAGTACAACATCGAAGCACATGCATAAAAGAGAGTTCCGAGTTTCAGAGTACGATGTGAAATACAACCACACCGTTACAATAAAAAAGTGGTCGAGAAAAAGACTTCGATTGGTGTGATGGATAGCACGTGAGCCTACGGTAAGGGTAGTCACGGGTTCAAAAACCAGCTGAGATTCCTAGCTGTGCTCATATCTCAGCATCTTCGTGGTTGTAGTTCACATAGCACTGTGCCATGAAGAAAAAATAAGCGATAAATAAAAAGATGAAACATTGTGATTTTTATTATTTGCAACGATTTAACGCGGTGCAAAGGTGGATAGCTTAACCCACATGACAAACGGTTCAACTTCTTCTGAAGCTCTTTTGTGGGTTACAAACACTTCAACCGCTTATTTTACTTTATATATAAAAATATATATATATATATACGTATACATATATATGTGCTTGTGTTTGCGTGTGTGTGTATGTGTATGTTCGTATAATCGTCTATTCGCTTAGGAACAAACATTTGGTACATAATGTTTAACGTTTTGTTTTCTGCCTTCTATAATTTTCATGGCTGGTTACTAAGCGAAATACAACCACAACGTTGCTGAGATATTTGCAAAACTCTGGACCGCAGGTGTCTATGGTGGGGAACGAACGCGCTATTATCCTTTCCGGGGAGTAACGCGTTCACCACCACACCATGCGGGTCCTTTGTTTCGCACGTCTCTGGTTACTAAGCGAAATACAACCACAACGTTGCTGAGCCATGAAAATTATAGAAGGCAGAAAACAAAACGTTAAACATTGTGATTTCAACTACAGCCATAGCTTAACTGGGTTCTATGCCGATTTGCGCTCCCCAGATCAACCCCGCTGACGGGTGATTGCTGTGGCAAAAAGATCGATAGAAATAGCTGAGAGACGTGCGAAACAAAGGACCCGCATGGTGTGGTGGCGAACGCGTTACTCCCCGGAAAGGATAATAGCGCGTTCGTTCCCCACCATAGACACCTGCGGTCCAGAGTTTTGCAAATATCTCAGCAACGTTGTGGTTGTATTTGGAACATATTTCGATCATATTTTGTCATTCTTCATCAAAAAAAGAAGCATTATACTCGACATACACCGGCTACAGTATTCCTAATGCCTATATAAATCCTGAGTCCATAAACGATCTCAGAACATGAGACGTAATCATCAAAATATGTGGCTTGCATCGCTTTGCCATCGTGAACCACATCCACTCTTAGAGATAACGAAAAATAGATGTTCACTAAAGCAATTTAGAGGAACTGAAATTGATGAGGCATCATGAAGCAAATATTTTAATATTGAACGATAAATGACAATCACCTTCAGAAGCTTTTGTTGTTATGACAAGTTTACTAGCGCCTTACAATATCACTACAAATGCGCTCAGTTGTTGTGAGTAGCGATTAAATTAGAAACCTCTAAAGGAATATAATGAGTACTACGATATGAGCTTAGTCTCTTCCTCATCGATCGAAAGCGTTTCTTACTGGGAGGATAATTCGCCACTATGGATGCTTATGAGAGATACACATTTCCAATATACCGTCTCTGAGTTTCCATAAATGATTTAAGGTAGAGAATTGGAGTATGCGACAAGAGAGAATGCACCAATGCGACTTTTCATCTTCTGTTGTCATCACAGCATCATTATCACCATCAACGCCATCGCAATCATCTCGTCGTGCACCACCAACTATCACCAGAATCATTACACCACTTATAACGTTATGCTCATCGATGAATATCGCTTCCGATATTGGACGGGGATTCTCCTTTAACATCTGGACCTATAGTGCGAATTTATGATCAATATTGATTTCTTTGGCACTGGTGGTTGGTATGGCGCAGTAGTTAGAAGTGTAACGACATACATATGTCGTTCGTTTTTGTTTCTATTATATTGCCAAATTGGTAACGTACTTGTCTGGGAGGATGAAAATACTGCCTCCGCAGATCAATAGGCTTTCCGAAGTCATTGTGTAGGCTAAACATTTACTCAACCACTTTTTTTTTGTGGAAAATAGCCTTCGTAAGAGAGATTAAAACAGAGAGATTCATTGCAGCCGTTGTGCGCTTCTGTTGTTACGTCTGATTTTTATGGATATTGATATTTTATGGATACTATATATAGCCTATTCTATTAAACTAGAGAAAATAAAAAACGTCTTCATGAGGAAAAGAAAAAGGAACCTCTCCATTGACGAAAGTTAACTGTACTCAGCCAAATTACCCTACAGGGAAGTAATAGTGCCGAAAAACAGAACGAGCACAATAGGTTCGGCGTTCTTCAGGCAGCGAGCAGTCGGTGAAAATCGTAAACAGCAAGCATCAGTTTATCGTTGTTAAGCAGAAAGTTTGCGAGGCATGAAATGCTGAATGGGCTTTTTCAAATGCTATTAGGCTGCACAAAAAGGACGTTTCAACTCGAGAACTTTTTCAAATGCTTTGAGATTGCGAACAATAGGTAGCGCTGAGGAACTTTTTTTTTATCCAGAACTCTGACGATTATCGTCGTCGTCACCAATTTACTCTTCAACGGCGACAGACGTTGTTTCACCGATGATTCTATGCGCTTCGGAAATAATATCAATCAGAAAAAAGCTGAAGTCTGAAAAATATGAGAAACTGAATGAAACCTTTCAGTCAAGTTCTCAAAATTGTCTAATGAGTCGTCTTCGGATTGTCTGCATGAACACCATCATGTAGTTGGACAATGTTGCTGCAGCTTAAAGGACACTCTCTCAATACAATGCTTCTATTAAGATACTGAACTTTAGCAGTATATAAGTCAGTTATCGTAGAGAAATGGAGATACGTAAAACTATTAGCGTGACATGGAGTGGGTTCCAACCAAAGTCAGAAAAAAATGGCCTCTTCGTGGGTTCCCTATTCGATTCATGTGGTGCAAATTTTCCTCATAAAAGCCGCTGATTATTGAGACTAAGTTAAAAATACAGGGACAAATTCTCCTCTGTTCTAAGGATCTCCTGATCATGTTTTTTTCTGCTGGCTATGAGGCAACGATTCTTAGGAATTGATACGATTCGCTTAGCCGGAGACACTGAACTGATGAGGAATGCTAAAACCTTAACCCTCAACTGATCAACGCGATTAAAGGAAATTCGGTTTTTAAAATGATGTTACGTTGTATGCCAGCTGATAATGATAACGACTGCGGCAGGATGGGTTGCCGGGAAAAAACAAGCGATTATTAACGAACAATCAGTATCAACAGCAACTGTCTCTGTATAAAAGAGCACTGCCAAGTGAAATCACTTCATCCGAGCCATGATCTGTTTCACTGGACTTCATTCGATGCGATCACGAAGTCTACATCGGAAGCAAAAATAGCTGTGGGATAATCGACTCAGATCAATTCACTTCTGAACAAGGTGAAGGCCCCGAAAAGTAAGCCGAATAAAGTTTTTAATCCGTTTTGTGTTAGCTTACCAATGAGAGATGCATTCCGACATCTTTCAAAGAACTCACTGCTACCTTGAAATTTTGTGTTGTTAATTCTAGATAAATAAAAACTAAAGGATTAAGCTCTCGACACCTATCAATCCCTGAGGAATGCGCTGTGCATTCGACTTCATTAAGGATCGTTGGAGGTGAATAAATGCAAATCTGGCCTTTACAATGACTCACGGTGGCCTACCGTTGTATCGAGCTAGTGTTGCTATCCTCCCAGAAGTGTCTGGTACCAATTTGACGATCCCGGAGGGATGGAGGGCTTGGTGAGTCTTGAGAGTGGAGATCGATCTCATATGTATTGCAGAGCGCCTCCGACCACTGCGTCTTTAATTCTTATTAATTTTAGATAGTTGTTTAACGTTTTTGTTTTCTGCCTTCTATAATTTTCATGTCAGGTTACTAAGCGAAATACAACCACAACGTTGCTGAGATATTTGCAAAACTCTGGACCGCAGGTGTCTATGGTGGGGAACGGTGGAGAACGAACGACAGGTGATTGGTGATATCAGAGATCGATAGAATTAGCTGAGAGGCAGGCGAAGCGAAGGACCCGCATGGTGTGGTGGTGAACGCGTTACTCCCCGGAAAGGATAATAGCGCGTTCGTTCCCCACCATAGACACCTGCGGTCCAGAGTTTTGCAAATATCTCAGCAACGTTTTAAATAGTTGTGCAAGGCTTTGTTATCAACGCAGTTCTTTGTCTGAACAAGACTTACTTGACCAACGACCGCCACCAGCTGTCACTTCCATTCTTGTTAATTGTGGAGTGATAAGAGCGTGCAGCAGTAAATTCTCTCTATTCGTGTCGCAGCATAATAGAGCTATCCACTGAACTCTGGTAATCTAATAAACAACAAAAGGATCATACTTCAATATAAGGTCATATGAGGTATCTTCATTGCTCTTAATGAGGGGATAGCGCAGGAAGTTAGGTAGACTCGTTGAGTTACTTCTCGATGTTACTTGGATTAGAGAGAAGGCGAATCATTTAAAACTTCTGACCATCGACTCCGATCATCGGCTCTGAGAAAGACGAAGACGTCGAAACGTTAGCCAAAAATAAACATCATTATCAACCTCGTGTAAGCTCGTCAAAGAAAGAATACATATTGACTAGAATACGGCTCTGTAGAAGGCGAAATCCGCCGAAACGTCAGCTTAATCGTGAACAAAGAATAGTAACACCTCGCGTTTGCTCAACAAAAATACGAAGAAAATCATATTGACCAATGATACCGAGGTTCAAGGAAAGTCGGTTTCGAAATATTACTACGCTTTGTGCTAGCTGATAATAACACCGACTGCACGATGTGCGCAATGATTATGTCCGGAGGGAAAACAAGTTGTTATCACCGGACATTATCATTATATCGACCATCAGTATCGTGTATAAAAGGGCATCACTAAGTAAGGATGCCTC